GGGAATCTCACTGGGCCTCTGGAATATTGATTTCCTCACCGGGCAGGAGAATGCACTAGAGTATATTTCCAAGTGTAAAATGTAGATCTCTAGTGAAATTGAGACAATTTAAGTGGTGGACAAACACATTGTTAAATTATACTTAATAGTATAATGAGAAAGTTACTGTCTTCACAATGGTTTTTCTTCCGGGGGACAATCACCACAAAAAATTTGTTCTTCTTCATTTTTAGCATAGAAGAGAAGAGGACAAGGGTCACCTCATATCAATATTTAAGTGTAATTTTAAAATGCTTTTCATTATATTTTAAACCAGTGCCTATAAACACAAAAATACTACATAGTAACATAATATTTTATACACGTGTACATTGTGTAATAATACGTAAATCAGGTTTAATATGTCTACTTCTTCAATGGTTTATCATTTCTTTATGGTAGCTTTCAAAATCATTTCTTCTAGCCTTTTGAAATGTAAAATATAGTAGTTATCTAAAGTCACACTATTGTAGAATAGTACACATCAACTTCTTGTTTCTAACAATAACTTAGTATCCACTGATCAAACTTTCCCTACTAATCCCTCCACTCTATTCTTCCCAGTCTCTGCTAACAACTCTTATCTTCTATAAGAGCAATGCATTTTTTAGATTCCACACTTAGTCAGAGAAAATGAAATCAGTATGTCAAAGAGATAGCTGTGCTTCCTTGTTTATTGCAGCTACTTACAGAGACCTAGAAGTAGAAACAGTCAAGCAATATCAGCTGGTGAAGGGGTAAAGCAACCAATATACGTGCACAACAGAAAACTAGTTAGCCATGAAAAAGATGAACTCCTGTAACTGTGACAATGTGGTGCAACAGGGATCATTACATTAAGAGAAATAAACCAGTCTTCCGGGAGAACATGGCAGATAGATAGCAGCAGCTACAGAGGCTCTCTGAGATACCCCACTTAAAATCCAGGAATGGTGCAGTACGAGGAGTCCTAAGCAAGGGGAAATACACCCTGCCGATTAAGGAATGAACTAAGCTAAGAGAAAACAACTGGAAATCCAATCCTGGTGCTATAACAGGAATAGATAAAATCTCAGCACAGAAGCTAGAACCCACACCACTGGAAGCCACAATTTGAATTTCCTGCTGTCGCTGCTGCGTCCAATCTACAGGGCAGGGAGAGGGACATGCAAAAGCTCTGAGAGTGGGAATCTGCAAACAGAGTTGAGAGCAGAACTAGCAGGGAGCCTTACATTGACTTGTGGTGAGTAAGCAGAACGGGGACCCTTTCATAGAGTAGGAGACTCCAGCAAAGGACATACTGGGAACGGGTAGACTTGCTGGAACAGGACACTGCACTGACATTAGCCGCATATTCCCCTTTCAAGTGGGATTGGTGGGGAGTGCCTGACCTGTGTGACGTCGCTAAGACCCAGTAGGCTAGCTCAAACCAAGTCCCAGCACCTCGAGGTACACCCTAGCAGTGAAGCCTTCGGTAGGTTGACCTGCACGGGCGGGCCCAGCATAGGCTGCCCAGGTCTGTGTCTCCCTAGTACACTGCAGTGGGCGGGAAAACCTAGCTGGTGCAATTCAAACAAACCAACCGACAAAGAGAAAAAAAGTTGGGCCTCCTACATTCACTTGTATGGAAGGAACAAAAGTATGGGAAGAGGAAGCAAGAAGAAAGGGTCCTCAGTCCCCAATCCTGAGAACACTGATCCAGGAAAGGGAAATGCAAAGGAAGACAGAAAACATGCAATATCAGACACGGCACCAATAGACATAAAGCAGTATCTCCAGAGCCTCATAGACGAGTTTAAAAATGAAGTATTTAATGAATGAAGCAAGATATAAGTAGAATAGTTAGAGAAATGCTAAGCACTACCCAAGAAAAAAAAGACAGTGGAATGGAAGAACAGAAAAAAGGAGAGAATTGTTTGATGGAGAAAATAGAGAAAAAATAAAATACATGAAGCAGGTTCAAAGAGATTACCAGGAAACTAAAAAGTCTATCAAAAGCTGGCATAACAGCTTGAAAGAAACTAAGGATAGATTATCTGAATTGGAGGGCAGATTTGTAATATGGGAGCATGAAATGAAAAACTTCTTAAAAATAACAAGAAAACAAACAGCAATAATACAAGGGCTAGAAGATGATAAGAGGATCTATAACTTAAGAATTAAGAACATAAAAGAAGAAGTAGGGACACAAACAAATGAACTACAAAAGCTATTCACAGAAATAATCCAGGAGAATTTCCCTAATTCAGCAAAGGGTAAAGATACTCAGATGTATGAGGCATACAGCCACCTACAACACAAACAGAGCTACACCCAGTCATATAATAATCAAAATTCCAGAAATACAATATAAGAACAGAATACTACAAGCCGTCAGAGACAAGAAACAGATCACTTACAAGGGAACACCCATCAGAATTACAGCATACTTCTCAGCACAAACCATCAAATCATGAAGAGCATGGGGGGAAATAATTCAAGCTTTGAAAGATAACAACCTCCAGCCAAGATTGATATATCCTGCACAACTGTCCCTAGAAATTGATGGAAAAACAAGGTGCTTCCAGGATAAAGAGGAACTAGGAGAATTTGCAACCACCAATTCAACTCTACAGAGAATACTGCAGGATATTCTAAAAAAAGAAAATACCAAGACTTCAGAAACAGTGACAGAAAGGCCACAATGAATGGAGCAGAAAGCGAAATGAAGAAGACAAACTGACAACAAATGACAGAAAAAGAGCTCAACAGAAATGAGGCAGAGAAGATTGGATGGTAGGAACAGCTATTTTGGAGAAAACAAGACATCATAATAGCTAGTGCTGATTTAGTATCATCTTGCTTTGAAGTCCCATCAAGCTTTTATTCTTCTGTCTCCATTGGTCTTAACAGGTTGTATCTCATTGGATTTTATTATATGTGATAATATAAGCAAGAACTTCTATAGACAAAGAGATTATACAGAAACCATTATTCATTTTCTGATAGTTGGTTCTAAATACCCTGTAATACTGTCATTCTCTTGAATGGTTTTACATTGTCTTGATATGTTTGGTGCTACAGTATACAAAGTTATACTCAAAAATTTCAAGGAAAGAGACACTATGGTAACTACTTTTATGTCAGGATATCTTGTGGTGAAACACTATTTTGCTTAAATGGTTATGCTTTGATCTGTGCTGTTTTGTTGTTATGCCCTCTTTTATCTCAATCTCCTTTTTTAAAATTATTTACTTTTTTATTTTTATCTTTTTAATTAAGGGAAAAAATTGCAGGATACATTATATTAACCCACTTTGATTTCCTATTAACTTGATTTGAAACCCTGTATAGCCCTCACCATCTTGCTTTGACTGATTTTCCTCTATTCTGCTTTGCTTGATAGTACCAAGTTCGAAAGTATAGGCAAAACTGTGAAGACAATAAGATTCATTACGACACCCATTCTGGTTGATTATTATCTTCTTTTAAAGTCCTGTAATGTCTCCAATGTTTTGGTTTTATTCTTTACTGTTTTGTTCAATTTTATTATAACTGATGATATAGGCAGTTCTTTTTAAGATAGCAAGAGGCAGTATGGTAACCATTGTTGATCACCTAGTATTTTGTTTTTATATTATCTATTATGTCCATCCTTTTGATTTGACTGACTCTGTTCTGTTATGGCACATTTGGTTTTACTCTCTTCAAAAAAAAGTAATAAGAACTGTGGGAGTATTAAAATCCAAAATGTGCAATTGTCACTGTACAAAAGAAAGGAAAAGAAAGTGCTCTAAAGAATATAACTGCATATATATTTAAGTGTATAAGATAGATAACCATATTACTGAGTTTTGTTGCATCATTGAACAAAACTGTTTCCAGTCTCACTGTTTGAAAGTCCACTTTATATGCTTTAATTTTGTAACTTGAACAACTATTTCTAAAATAATATGTAATCTATTAACTAGTGATTTCCTACTGTTTATGTTTTCTGAAATTCTGTATAACTTGTACCCTTTTTCTATTTTTTCTTTTTCTCCTTAAATAAAAAGAGAGAGAAATAAACCAAATATGAAAAGACAAGAATTCTATAATTCTAAATAATTTAAAATCTATATAGTTGATGTCATAATTTATAATATTTTATTTATTTTTCTACAACTTTATGAAAAGCATTACTTCCTAGGAGGATGTAGCAATATTTTTATTTTGGATATAATTAAAAGCAACTTGACCTAAAACACATTGTATGTTTTGTAATAGGAACAACTTTGAATATAGCAACACACATATACTAACCAGTGTTAATCTCCTAGTAGGTCATTTTGAAATTCTGTATCATTGTTTTTCTTTTTTTATTTTAAAAAGCAAATCAAAAAAAAAAATAGAAATAATACAGAATTTCAAAAAAAAGTAAGAAATCAACACTAGTTAATATATTTCATATTGTTATCTTAGAAGTAGTTCAGATCACAAGATCTAGGCATAAAAATGATCAAACAATCAAACAGTGACAGCACAATCTGTTCTTTTTGATGAACTAACAGAGATTAGAAGTATAGTAATCAATCTTGGACATGTATACATGCACAGTTATACATATATAACCATACAATATACTCTTTTCCTTTCTTCCATTTCTCCTTTCCTCTATCCCAATCATTCTTTTCTTTTGTGCCTTTCTTTCCCTTTCATTTTCTTTTTTGTTTTACAATTTTAAAAAACACATTTTATAACAATAATACAGATAGTATACAAAAGTTAAAAATAGTACTTTACTACCTGGTTCTTTATAATAACTAGGATGGATGACATTAAATATAAAATACTTATGTTACTACTTATCTGTGGAACAAAAACTTTAGGAAATATTGCAGTGAATGTCTTACATGGTATCCTAGTCTTTAAATACCTTTTGTCTTTTACACAAAAAATTTTTGGAACACATTTCTGGAAACAGTCCTCAAAGGATGATGGCTTGGCTTGGGAGGCAGGCTTACCTTCTGAATCTCTCTGTGGGATGGAGGTGGGCTATATCCACCTGAAGCAACCATTTTGGATCTCGCGGTGGTCCTTGATGCCACATGCCAACCTCCAGGCATCGACAGAAGACTACTGATACTGTGGAAGCAACAAGGCAGTTAAATTTGTCTACTGCCAGCCTTCTTCCTATGACACTGAAACAAAACTTCTTTCTAGTGAGATGCACCATAACTGAGAGTTTCTATTAGGTGCAACTTGACCTAATATGATATAACAAAGGATTCTACAAAAAGAGTAGTACAAGACACATAACCTAAAATGTAGCATTATTTTGTCATGTAAGACAGTCAAGACAAATAGGACTAGGGTACTGCAAGCAGGAGAGCGGGTTCTATATATCTATCCTATCTGGTTGCAAAACAGTTTGCCAGCTGGTTGTCTGACAGAAGTTAGAGCGTAGATCACATACTCATTGAGGTTACACCATTGAAACAAAAAGAAGCAACATTTTCAGGATGTTGGTATATTAGCCATCTTGTTGCATGAAAATGACTCCCAAGATTTCACAGCTTAATGCATCAAACATTTATCTCAAGTTTCTGTGAATCTATGTGCAGCTTAGCTGGTTCCTTCTGGAATACCAGTTTTTTTATTTGAGATCAAGGTATCACTGGGACTACAGTCTCATCTAAAGACTGATGGGGACCCAATTACAAAGTCACTGATGGAGCTTTTGTCAGGCTTGAGTTCTTCACTGGCTGTTGGACAGAAGGCCCCAGTACCTCACTGGACGTTCATCGAAAGCTTTCCCTTTCTCTCTTGCCATGTGGACCTCCGAGGGCCATGTACGACATGACAGCTGGCTTTGAAAAGAACGAGTGACAGAGTAAGAGACAGGACAGCCACTTCCTCATCTCGCAGTGGGACCCAGCACTCCAATGCATTCTATAATTAGAAGCCAGTCACTAAATCAGGCCCACACTCAAGGAGAAGTAAATCCCAGGAGATGGAAACCATGAGGGCCCATCAGAGAGGCTGCCTACAACAGATGGTATATGACAATACCATGTGACATTTTCAGCAACATGCCATGATAAAAAATGAAATCAAAAACATCTATCCATCTACAAGAAGAAATCACCGGAAATAGGTTTGCTTCACGTGCAGGGTGTCACCTACCCCACTTACATATCTATAATTAGAGAGCTTAAAAGATTGCCACCTAACTGAATCCATTATTAGAAGCTGCAGTCTTAGCATTAAATAAACTCGCTGATAAGAATGAGAGAAAGTGAAGAGCTTCCTGACCAAAGCCTGTTGTTTCAGGAAACTCTCCGGTTGGGGGAGGAGGGTAGACATCTCAGAGAGAACAGCAATTAAAATCAAGAGACTTCAGATTTAAAAACCTCTAACTCAATAAGCTGTCCAGCTTTATTCGCTTGTATACGGAACCTTCCAAAGCATATGCAAATCTTTCAGATTGTCAAACAGGGGACTGCCCTGCAAAGGTCGCTTTTTGCTCTGAGATGAGGTCTATGGTATTTGTCCAGCACCACCTTTAATGAATGGAAGTTCTTTCTGAAGTTCTGCTGTTTCTGCTTCTCTGACTGTCAGGTGTGTGGGATGTCTCCTGGAAGTATAGGTTGCCTAGGTTTATAGACCACTAGGGTTTATGGACAATGAATCTGACCTGGTGGGGAAAACTGCATCTCTTCTGAGATCGAATTTCAGCCAGATACAGTACCTGGATGAGGGTCCTCTCCCTTGGAAAGGGGCTGTTTCCACTCGACATGCTGGTTTGAATGTTACGTAGCTACCGAGATCATCTGTGGCAGAAATTGGGAGCCACCCACATCTATTGTTCCCTTTTGCAGTCTAAACATTGAAGCTTCCCAGAAGAAAAGTTTGGTTAATCCCCTACCACATGCAGAAAGAGCTGAGTTGTATAAAAAGGGCAGGGGTGGAGCAAGGGATCTTGCAAATCAGAGCTGGAGAAGGATGCAGAACAGAGCTGCGAAAACTCAAGGTGAAGGTCCCAGAGGAGCAATCTCCAAAGGGAGATGAAGAGGTAAAAATACGCGTAGGTTAAAATTGCGTGACTGATTTGGAAGTTGAACACTAACACCCACCCCCCCAGGCTGATTTGTTATCTCTGTAGAGAAGAAGCTAGAAACAGAGAAAGAGAAGTGAAGCAGAAACCAAGGAGTGAAAACATCCAGCACAGCTCATTGGGTTTTTTTGAAAGCTCACATGACTGATCCTGCTATGACTACACCAGCACTGTTTTAAGTCTGTGTGTGTGACACAAATCAGGTAACCTTCTCAGAGATAAGCTATCCCTTCCCCCTGTTTTACAGAAGAGGGGACTGAAGCCCAGAGAGGCTAAGAAGCCCAGGGCAACCAGCCCTGATGCCAATCCAGACATTTTGTCTTTAGGGAGCATTTCTTAAGGACCAGCTGCTACATACAAAAGTATCTGAGTCAGCTATACAGGAAGGATACAAATCGATTAAAGAGTGGCCAATTCATGAGCAAATAAATTTTGGAATGAATACACATCTACAAACAAATTAATTGGATACATTATTAAACAGGTGTCATTATTTTTGAGCATTCTATATGATCTATCAGGTTCTCCTTACCTTTTTATCTTGTGAATATCTTCTCTATTAGGTCTGTGAATCTGATCAAAATTTCCACAAAGAGATGGCAGGGTTTTGGTTGTGTCTCCTCCTTGTGGAAGGATGAGATGGTCAGGATGGCCAGCAGACCAGCTTCACACTTTCCTCCCAGCCCTGCTTTGGTGTTTCCAACTATCTGCAAGTCACTTTCAAGAAGAAATTTGATTTTTCCCCCAAAAAGATTATTACTAGGAATGCGTTTGGGTTTAGTCAAAAATCACAGGGAGGAGTCATTCATACATCACCATCTATTTATCTATTAAATAATGTATTCCTTCAATATTTATTTTTCAGCCAGCTCTGAGAGAACAGTCGCTGCCTTCAGTTTAATTCTCCTAGCAGCAAACATTTCCAGGATGGGTGAGAAGAGATCTTTAAAGGCTCAGGTGGCTGGGAGACCAGGATGGGTGATGAAGAGATCTATTTGGAGACAACACAGGATAACTAGTAAAGGAATAAGTAAGTGAACCAGGCCAGGAAACGGATCAGCCTGGGTTTTCTCCCATTCTGGATACTGCAGGCTCAGTCCATCTTGGGCAACTCCAGGACACGCTATAGATGTACCTGTGTGTAATTCTATCCACATCTATAAGCTGGGTTGCTTTTCACCTAACTTCCACCCAGTCTTAATTGAGGGGAAAGAATTCTGCTCTTGCAGACATTGACTCCCTTGACCTTGTTTACCTGTCCACGATGCAGGAAAACCTCTGAGGAAAAACTGAGTTTGTGGTAGGTCGTTATGGCTTGTCTTGTTGGACTGCTCACAGGCGTCTGCTCTGAGCGGCCATGCAGATGATTAAGTAAAACAGAAACCAGAAACGCAGCCCAGGTATTAGGAGAGTAGACCGAGGGAATGAGTACTTTATTTTCTTCTCCATCACAGTCCTCTAAGCACACACACACACACACACACACACACACTCATGTGCACACACACGCACACACACACACACACACACACTTACTCATGTGCACACACACACGCACACACACACACACACACACTCATGTGCACACACACACACACTCATGTGCACACACACGCACACACACACACACACTCATGTGCACACACACACACACTCATGTGCACACACACGCACACACACACACACACACTCATGTGCACACACACACACGCACACACACACACACACACACTCATGTGCACACACACACACACACTCATGTGCACACACACACACACACTCATGTGCACACACACACACACACTCATGTGCACACACACGCACACACACACACACACACTCATGTGCACACACACACACACTCATGTGCACACACACGCACACACACACACTCATGTGCACACACACACACGCACACACACACACACACACACTCATGTGCACACACACACACACACACACACACACTCATGTGCACACACACACACACTCATGTGCACACACACACACGCACACACACACACACTCATGTGCACACACACACACGCACACACACACACACACACTCATGTGCACACACACACACACACACTCATGTGCACACACACACACACACTCATGTGCACACACACACACACACTTACTCGTGTGCACACACACACACGCACACACACACACACACTTACTCGTGTGCACACACACACACGCACACACACACACACACTTACTCATGTGCACACACACACGCACACACACACACACACTCATGTGCACACACACACACGCACACACACACACACTTACTCATGTGCACACACACACACGCACACACACACACACACACTCATGTGCACACACACACGCACACACACACACACACACTCATGTGCACACACACACACGCACACACACACACACACTTACTCATGTGCACACACACACGCACACACACACACACACACACTTACTCATGTGCACACACACACACGCACACACACACACACACACTTACTCATGTGCACACACACACACGCACACACACACACACACACTTACTCGTGTGCACACACACACGCACACACACACACACACACTCATGTGCACACATTCCCAGCATACATGTCATTTCACAAACATCCTCCTCAGAGCATTGAGCTAACTGCTCCAGGTTTCCTTTTGAGTCCCTGAGTCTTTTAAAAGTTGAAATTTCTCTAATTTAATTTTAAAAAGTACCAAAAGGGATAAATATATGTAAGCAAGTTCAAGCAAGTTGTGATTTTCCAACACTGATAATCAAGTTGTCTATATGAATATGTCAAATTATTTTCAAACATTATCTTGATATGCCTGCTTTGTGGGTATCTGGGGCATATGGTTTGTCTGTCCTTTGGTGGTCTTCACATTCTTCATAACACTTAAGCATCACAAGGAGGGGGACCTTGTTTTTCTGAAGATTACTCATGTCCACAATGCCTAGCAATACTAAGTACAGAATCAGAATTCACAGTCATACAATGCTGGAT